TCAGTTTCCCAGCAAGCATTCCACTCTTCAATGGTTTTAACAAATTCATAGAGCAGCAATTCAGAGCCATGTAAGCACACTGAACTTTGAACTCTGAAAATTTTCAGCTCTAGCTCTTGTATTGTAGATAACATGCATTTTTCTTTAGGGTTTCTTACAGTCTTTATCTGAATGCTTTAAAAGAGCCACAACATACAAGTTCCTGACGTCATCCAAATAAAACATTATAGGGAATGTAGGATTCAAATTAGCAGGGCGAGATCTATGCATAGTAAGTAGCCTGTAAAATAAAAACAGGAAATATGAAAGCTTGTCCCAGCGCTTAGGGACATGGTGGAGTTGAGAACAGTCAGTGTGAGGTTAATGGTTGGACTGGATGATCTTCAGGGTGTTTTCCAACCTAGACGATTCTGTGATTCTAGTCACTACAGCTTACATAGTTCCACCAGAGAGTGCACTTGTGCAAAGTGAACAGATCTCCAGATACCACATTACCTACCATGTAGAAATACAAAAACAGCACAGCAAGAAATAAAAAACTTAAGATAAAAAAAAAGTAAGCTTAAAAAAAAAAAAAAAGAACGCAACCACAAAAGGCATGCTGGAAGAAATTCAGATTTCTTAAGAGCTGATAGATACTCTAACACTGATATTCTTGATAAAAAAGGGCATGTTAATGTTAATTTATGTAACAGGACACCTAAGCAGATCCTCTAGAGAAGTTCCCAGACCACCTGCAGATACATAGCACATTTTGAAGAGCAATGCAAGGCTATAAATATGCATGGCATGACCTCATTTATATTGTTCTTTCATAGGACTCGGATCTTCAGTTCAACAAAAAAAAGGAAGAAAGTAACAAAAGGAGGAAGAACTGTCTTTTGGTTAAGAACTGGGAGACAGGAAACCTGGATTCTATTTTTTGCTCTGCCACAGAAGTCCCTTGCAGCAAACTTTCCAAGGAAGTGATTTTGAGATGAAATGCTACAGAAGACTTAACCACAAGTAACTAGATTTGAAAGTCTTGTTTACTTTCTCTGCCTCACCTCCTTCATCTGAACCAGTGATGAAAATTCTCATCTATATCCCAATGATGATGTAAACTTCCACCAGAAAACAACATAATAATAGTATTAAAACCAGGAAAAAGAACTAAATATAGACACCTATTAGGTTTATCTTCCATGTCGTTACAAAATATTCACCTTTTTATAAACAAACAAGACAAAAAAGACCTTTAAATAATCAGCATTGCCCTTTGTTTGGAACCAGTTGAAATCATAACCGCAAATATAATCTTTCATTTTTGTAGATGGAATGATGTTTAGACAATGCACTAAAGAGTCCAGCAGTATCGCATTTATAAAGATCAAGACAAATTCTCTGCCCCCAGCCCTACTTCATTTTCAAGAGTACCTCCAAGACAGACAGCCCAAACTTCAATGTCTTTCAGCAAGATTAATTTTTTTCTGGTTTATTTGTGTTAGGTAGGTTTTGCTGGGGTGGGTTTTTTCGGTGGTGGTAGTAGTGGTTTTTTACCTAACCTCCCTAAAATACCTTCCTTTAGTCCTTTTTTAAAAATATGTCCAATCATATTTCTCACAGTTGCAACACTGAATGAACACATAATCCAAGAAACAATGTGTCCTATTTCACTTTGTTATGAGTGCTCTTTCTTTAGCTAAATGACTTCAGATTCAGTACTCCAAATGTAAATCTTATTTTACTATCCAATATGGAAAGCACAAGAAACCATGGCTACAAATGAAAAAAAAACTTGGGTAAATTATAATTATAATTTCAATTTAAGGAAAACAAAAAGGCCAATGAATTTTCATTGCACAGGAGGCAAGGGGAGGAAAAGAAGAGAAAGGCAACTTCTTTTACATTGGCTTTCCCATCTGGAAAAACTCATCAGAAAAATGGAAAGCCAATACCAATAGAAAGCTGTGAGGACAGGGTCAAAACATTTTTCTAAAACAACTCTACTGCAGAATGGGGATAAATACATCTCAAGGAATATATAGACATCTCATGCTATAGCTCATCACTGAGGGCAACAAATTATTTTCTATGGTCCTGTAAAGTGCTTTACATAGGACTACTGACAGTTTTTGGAGAGTAACTAGATCAATTCTTTTGTAAAAGTGATCCACTTCCAACTGTTTTCTGTCATGAGACAATTATCACTAATTGTAAGTTCCTAACTCACTGAAACAGGAATATAAATTTTCTGTAACAATGATTTTATTTTTTTTTCCTCAGGATAATGTATATTTTTAAATACTGTATCCGTAGCATTCTAGATGTCAATTAGAGAAAGTAGGTCTGACAGTATGTTAGAAAACCATTAGCATAGTGACTCAATACTCTGGAGACTCCAGTACAAGCCGTGATTTCCCACAAAATCTGAGGAGTGAGAAGATTGTAAACAACAATTCATGCAGCACAGACTTGGTTTAATGCCCCAGTTGTGAATTCCTTATACAGCCAAGATAACTGTTGACTTTAATGGCTGCTGTGGAAACCCTTGGAATCAGTTTGCTTGCGTATGGTACGCTTTTCCTATAGAGACAGATGTACTGGCTTGGGAATGTGTCTGCTTTTACGTCTGAAAGATTCCGACCTAATCATGAAGCAAGGCATGGTTGTGGTGCTACACAGGACTAACCTCAGTTGGATTTCTGTTACCTTTTCCCTGTGACAGGACACAACAGCACATGCCTTTAAAGTGAATTCAAGTTCTTCTCACAAAAAGTGGGAGCATGAACTGGAATCCTGAGACAAGCATATAGCCTAGACTTGGTTACAGGAAAAATAAAGAATAAATAATCCTTGAATCTTGTTAGTTATTTTGAAACCAGACTTAATCCTTTTAAATTCCCTATAAGATCCATATCACTCCTTCCTCTAACCCAGAGAAACAGCTTAATCTCACACAAATTGCATTTCCTTGGAAAATCTATTATGCTGAGTGTTTAAAAAAATAAAAATTAAGAAATGCATTTTGTATAGTTCCTGGACTTTATTGATCCAGCCCATACTATATTCTTTCTGAAAATATCTTAGGGTAAAAAAAAAAAAATTCCTCATTTTCAGTTCCAGCCTCTTCTGTGCCTCCACTTGTCCGACTACTGACAACTTCATTCTGCCCATCTTGTTACACAGGCTTTCTCGAAATAACCCTCATCAAAAGGAAAAAAGATTCTCTTTCAAAATAAACATGGAAAATAAGCACTTCATACATACTTGGGGTGGTGGAGAGTACGTCTTTATTTTTAAATTTCACTATATAGAATTACCCTGCCGAGCCAAGGAGATGGCCAGAACATAGTGCTTGCTATACGGGACTTCACATCACTTCTTGTGCTAAGACACATCAGTGTGAGCCGATGTAAGGTGACACGGTTTTGTCCACATAGCATGGCAGAGTTCTGCTGCCTTGAATGCAATAGAACTGACTTGCAGGCCGTTGCCTTTTCCAGAAATCTCTGGCTTACAAAATTCGGTGCTTTTCAGTTCCACACTGTTGATACATTTGAGTGCTGCATGAATTATTCCTACTCCACATTTCCAGTTGCTAGCATAGAAAGTCTGCAGCTAATTCCCACATCTATATATTTGCAAACCAAACTTGCCACCATCAGCCTGGATCAGCCCTTGACATCCATGGGACCTAGAGACTTTGGTTCTTTTTGCAGCTAGTTTTTGACTACAATAAGAGGCTTCGCTGGCCAATTTTGCAACCAGAGTTCCTGGCATAGCAGTTGGCTTTAAAAACTTCTTTGACTTTTTGATCCAGGGTTCAGGTTCTGGAACCCATTAGTTATCACCAAGCAATTAACCTGGACATCTGGCACCTTATCTGACCACTGGGTTAGCCTGAGTTTAAAGTTTTAAGTGAGACAGAACACCTCACCACCGTTTAAACTAGTCTACTCCATGCTTGGCAGTTCAAGGCTTCTAGGACTGACTGATTTCTAATGCAAGTTCTAGCTAGAATCTAATGAACAGTACCAGTTACCTTGACACCTGGGATCCCCAAACTATGTTCCTCTGCATAATATTTCTTCCAGAAGACAATATACTCATATGGGCTTACTGTGACTATGAGCTTAATGGCATTATCAAAGTATCGGCTGGAAAACTTGTGTAGGAAAAGGTAGAGAAATATCAAATTCCTAGTAAAGAAAAGCATCACATTTAGAGATGCATGTCAGCAGCTACTTAATTATGATAAAGAATTTCAAAGTGACCTGAAGAAAGAAGTCTAGGAGAAAGACTGAAATGCCAGTCCTTTTTATTTCTGAATCTATTCCCTCATTCAGCAGCCCCCACACCACCCTCAAAAAAAAAAGTCAGTTGTGCCACATATCAAGACTGTAGTTCAATGAGAATGAATTACATTCATTATTCATTTTTTCCTTTTCATAGAACGTCCATTATGCTAGAAGTGAAACTATACTATGCAGATACAGCTATTAGATGCCAACCAACAGCTAGATTTTAAAAAACATGTTGATTAGTAGAGAGTCACCACTGTCTCCAGTCCTGCCAGGGCACCACAGGCTGGAGATTATACTATAGCCTTCATATCATTAGCATAGCTACACCTGAAAAAAGTCAGCCAGGTTAAAGGAATTGATATTTATAGTTTTCAGCAGTCTTCACAGAGTGAAGAAAGTTCCAGTGATTTCCATCATGACAAACAACTGATGCAGTAAATAGTCACATCTCTACTGCAAGCATGTTCAACCATTTAAAATGCCAACTCCATATTCACTGTCATGATTTACCAGGCTACAAGTATACAAATTTGCAAATGCCTTGAGAAATACATCCCAGATTTCCACATTCATTCTCAACATTGTGTATGAAAATTACCTAAAACTGAGTTTAAAAATTAGTTTTTCACATCTTTGTGTCCTCAAAGGAAAGTGCAGCTGCAGCCTTAGAGGCATTTAATCGCTCAAGTCTGGGTGACAGAGTGCACCACTTACCGCTGAACAGGTAACGGAAGGGAATCTAAGTGGTCCTCGCTCTTAAAAGCCATATTTATCCTATTATGTGTACTTCTCCATAGGCTGGAATCTAGAACGAAAACAAACAGCCATTTAGAAAACCTAGAAACACTCAGGCCTCATCAGCCCACGGTGACACTGCATTCTGCTACTGATTTGTGGAGCTAACTCACTAAAAACAATTCAAAAGGTTTTGGTTTTTTGTTTGGTTTGGGGTTTTTTTGTTTGTTTTGTTTTGTTTTGTTTTTTACCAGACAACTCCAACAGATAACCAAGGCCGTTAAGTATATTTCATGGCATAAGAAACATAGGGTTTGCATATTCCTGAACTTTCTGGACTACTGCACAGGTCAAAGCCATCTGGGTTGAACATTTCTGAGTTGATATCAAGTTATTACATCAAATTGTTACTTAGCCTTATTTATTTTGAATTAACTTGAACTCTAGAGGAAATTGATTTAGTATGATTGCAATTATTCAGGTTATTATGAGAAAGATTGCAAGAGAAAGCAAGTGTACACTCATATGATTTCAGGATCGTTTATTTAGTACTACATTTACAGACAGACCTTTGATGTCTAAGTTCCTGAAGTATTGGATCCTTTCATGTTTACAATTTCATTTTTCTATCAGTTTGAAATGCTGTACACATCTTTTTCCTCCATGTTTTTCCTTTTTACCTGGTAACCAAGAGATGCAGCCAACCACTATGGTGCTAGAAAGAAGCAAGAGGCAAGGAAAAAGGAGAGACTCTGTTTCACAAAAAGGAGGGGTGCTCTCTCCCTCCTCCTTTGAATTAGCCCCATCTTCTATTACGGAATTACCTACTATAGATCAATGCCTATTCCCAACAAAAGCCAGAGAGGATTTATTCTACCAGAAAAAAATGAAGTCACTCCCACTCATCTGTATAATTAGAGGAAAACTAATGCAAAATATTTTAAGGGAAAGATTAATCCATGACTCAGGATGAACAGGAAGGAGATGAATGAATTTGGAGGAAGAGACAGGAACAGTGAGGAAATGATGCTTTCTTAGATATGAAGCACAAAATGGGATCAATGGATCTCACTCTTGGAGAAAATACGTTACACAGGAAATCAATGGTCTTTGTGTCACCAACCGAGGCAAAATGTTTTTGATGTAGCCAGTTGTGAAATTCTGCCATTTGGTTATTGGCTACATTCTGCAAGCTGAGTCAGCCAGCATTTAAGATATTTCCTACTCCAAATTGCTCTTAATTGACACAGAGTGGTCCTCAGCAGCTTTTCTAGCAAACTGATCTCATTGCTAATGCATGTCCTTGGGTTTTTTTCCCCCCAAGATTCCACATTGTCCTGAGTACATAAAAGTATCACAACTGAAGCAATGCATTCACATGCTCTGTCCACTATTAGCACCAGTTTGCTTTGGTAATGGTGTTGTCCTGTGTTCATCCCTACTCCCCAAATTTTCCTGGAAATAACAAACTTAGTCTTCTTAGTCCAATGCATCTAATGGAGTGTATCGAAATATGGGAGAAGAATCTGTTTAGAAAAAAAATAAATAAAATAGGCAGTTTAAGTGTTACTGAATTCTCTGATTTAAAAAGACTGCAGATATTTGATATCTGTGCCTAAAATTAATAAGCCCAAGTATGAAAATATTAGTGTGTATCTTTCTGCTCCTGTACACATCAAGATCTGAAAAATGAGCTTACTGTTGTTGGGGGTTTTTTTAAAGCATTTAGCATACAATGTACAGACTTCAATAACTGGAATAAAACAGCTATCTGAATTTCTTTTTGCTAGTATAATTTTTTTGTCTCTTTAAAATTTAATACAAATAATCACACAATCAAGATTTACTGGAAATAGCCAGTTATCATGATTATCACTGTCTTCATTTGGAGGAGATATCCTTACTGAAAGTTGAACACATCTGCATAAAATCTTAATCTCTTAAAATGTAGTTTCCTCTCCTAAATCTTATCATGTAAAGGACCAAGAAAATAGTCTTTCAGCCTGCAGAAGTACAGACTTCATAAATACTAAATATCTCCTGCTCAGCATCAGACACGGGATTTACCCTCTTATGCTATCAACACAAAATCAACAGCTTCCCTCTGGAGAGCGAAAGCTACTTCACCATTAGCTCAGCCCACTAACAATTTCTACACATACAAATCAAAGCATCTGCTTGTACTCCATTACTTGCAATCGGTGACATAATGTACACAGACATAAATTAGATTACTGCATGACATTGTTCCCTATAAATTAGAAACCTGACAAAAATGCAGCTTTCTATATGCTGTCCTCCCACAAAACATACATTCATGTTACGGCTGAGAGCCTTTAAAAACATCATCAACTCCTGCTTAGAGGTCACATGCTCCAGGAACAGTAACAAAATGTCACACCAATTTCTTAACCAGTCTGTCTCAAGGCTAGGATTAGATAGTAGCTCGATTTTTTTAAGCCCAAGTTAATGTTGACAACATGAGGAAATGCTCTTCCCAAGCACCTGCCAGTCTGTCACAGGAACAGCTGTATCCCCAGGACAGCAAGACCCCACTAGCCTGCCTAAACCCATGACTACAAGAGAAGTTGGATGCCCAGTGACTGATGGAGTACAGGCTTCTGGTCCTGCTCAGAATAGCTCCTCCACACGCTGGGCAATTGCAGTGCTCAGTGGCAATCTTTGTTCAGTTTTCAATATGCTCATTAACCTTTCCATGTAAGGCCAAGATGACTGCACTTTCTAGTAAAGACCATGACAGGACTGATGAATCCTTCTGTTTACTTGATGCTGGCTTTATTAAAGGCCACAACATCGTGTTGAGCTCTAAACCTTCCTAAAAGGAAGGTCTCCTACTATAGCTGACCATGCAGACCACCTAAGCATCACCTCAGGTCAAAGCAAGAAACTTTCAGAGTATCAGATGTTTCATCTTCTACAAAAAAAAATTCTACTCAGGGTCAAAGACTTCTTTACTCTGGCCAATACACATCAGACGTGGAAGAAGAGATACACGCTGTTACTAACACACACATACACTAGCAGCCTGTCACGAACACCTCTCCAAAGGGACTGAAACATGGGTAGGGCAATGTGCACAACCACTGCAGCAACTCCTGTTTGAGTATCTGTGCAGAGGCACCACGAAGTTCTGGTCCATATGGCTACTGTGCATATGGCTATATGCAACTAGAACAGGTGGCATGCACCTGAGCACACACGCTCAAGGATACACAAATGGGAAGCATGTGCCCACGTGCCTCTTAGTCCTTCTCACTAGCTGCTTCCTCACAGATAGTGGAAACTGTGGCTGCAGGTAGAGCCACAGGTTAGAAATGGTGCCTGAAGTCAGAGACCTTTCTCCTAATGACCATTTAAAAGATGACCCTCTGACTTAAAATTTCATAAAAACATATGTTTTGTATATGTTATGCATGTATATATATATATACACTCACATTTATTAAGTATACACACACTAATAGGCAACATTAGAAGCCTTGTGCAGCAGAGGCTAATGCTTTTTTCCACTGGCTTCAGTGGCCACTGTAAGGCTACAACTGGTCAGAGAGGTAAACCTGTAATAAAAAAAAAAAAACAAAAACCAACACTACTTGTAGTTTGCAATACTGGTCATTTTGGTACAAGCTCAAGTAACACTTATGCTGAAATAATAAAATTGTCATTCTTGGACTTTCAGAAGGCCAGTTTTTTAATACCTTATATAGAATTTTACATAAATAAATGTCCACACATAAACTTGCATCACAATAATAAATAATGACTTATAATCAATTTAGTTGTTCTGGTAGACAGCAGTATGTGTGTATGGAATTAGATGTATTCAAGGCAGCAGTTTCTCCTTGTGTCCTTCATCTTTATCATGTCAGCACTGAATTAGATTTTAAGATGTTATTTACTCATGTTTACTAGATAGATATAGGTAAGCAGACCACAAACCACATTTCATTCCCACTGAAGACAAGTCAGTCAAAAGCTTGGTTCAGAGAACGACTACACCAGAAGAAAACAAAGCATCACACCTGAGACAGCACATAGGCGTTGCCCACAAAAAAAATGCAGTGTCAGCAGAGGATGTGACCTTCATGGCCAGACAAAAAAAAAAAAAAAACCACAAACATAAACAAAACAAAACACACTCACCACCAGGAAGAGGGAACTTGCTTATATACAAGCACCAGCCCCTGATGCTGGCAACTGGCAGAGAGAACTGAAAACAGCTTTAAGAACTTACTAGCCCACCCATGTTAAAAAAGGAAGAGTCTTACTGCACCAGGCTCTGCAGCACCTGCGAAACCCTAGCACAGCAATGGAGCTGGGACCTGCTAAACCACTGGTTCCACAACACCAGACTCCACCGGCCTTACAGGAACTCCCTGCTGGGAGCCTCCTCTTGCTCCTGTCTGTTTAGCACTGGAGAGCAGCTTCTGCAGCACAACATGGCTTTTTAGCATCCTACAAAAGGTATTTCTGCTAGGAAAATAAATTCCATCTTGTAAAATCTCCCAATTTAAATTTCTTCATGGTTCAACATGTTAGCTTATGTTTAACAAGCTCAAAATTAGGAGGATTTTAGTAGTTAGGATTCTGTTAGAAAAACATCCATGTCCGAAAGTATCACAGTAGTAGCACATACTCAAGGTGAACTAAGTGTGACTCATTTACTCCTACTACTGATGGTCCTAAAGTTCTCCATCACAAAATGATATCCGGAATAATTAAGCCCTGAAGCTCACAATTAAATTCACATTTTTGAGCTCATTCACTGCACACATGTCCACCCTTATACAGGCTTAGATCAAAAGGCAAATCCATGAATTTTTGCCAATTCATTTCTAACCCCTAACATCATAACTTCAACACTAAGAACATCTTAAAATAAGGTCAATCAAGAGAATCATTTCTCTTTCTGAAAGACAGAAATCCCAACATCTAACTCTGAATGTTAAGATTTAGAAGAGCATGTTACCTGTAAGTAATATGGCTAGCCTGAGAATAAGAAGTCATTAGCAAAAAGCAATTTCAGACTAGATATCACTTCATTAATAT